AATAAAGTGCTTGAAATAGCAGCGCTAATTCAAGCTGATCACAAGCTTTTTTTCTAATCAGAGTTTTTGGCAAAACAAAACAAACTTTCACCGGCAGAATTTCCACCGTTTGTCTGGACGCGCCGCAAAAAAAGTTATGCAGGGATAGTTTCAAAAAAATTTTTTTCACTCTACTGTAACAATTAAATTTTCTTGGGCCAAAAATGTCGCCAATGCGTTTTGAGTATGTAAAAAAAAAATTTCATAGTAAATTTTGACATGGATGATTAGAATGAGTAAAAAATACTTAATTCTGACATGTGAGCGCATGACTATTTCAAAGGGTGTCGCAGTTTTGCGCAAAATGTCGATCTTTTTCTTACCACAATGCTCTATTATAGGATCTTATTGCTTCTTTTATATATTAATGGTTCGACAGAACCGGTTTCTGTCAGCAAGGTGTGTTTATTTGCAGATGATACGACTATTATTACTATAGGACCAACTAATAACACTGTACAATTGCTTTACCCGTGATCTTAACAAAGTGGAGTATTGGTGCACTAATAAACATTTGACAACTGACTGTGCAAACGGTCAAATAACATTTTTGACAAAATTCCTTATTATACAGGTAAACTTTTTCGTGTGCTTCAGAAGTTTTTGACCTAATCTTTTTAAACAAATGACATATATAAACCAACATGATTCTCCTCTCTTTTGTAGAAAAATGAAAAGAAAAAAATTCTTTTTTTTTCTTCAAATTTTTGCAGTTTTTTTTTTGCTATTTTGACGTTTTTGATTGCAAAAATGCACTAAAATACTCAAAAAACTAACTTCAGTCGAGTGAAAATAAGTAATCAACACTTCCGAGAAACAATAGTTGAGAAAAGACACGTTCAGTCATCAGAAACGACAAAACGAAGCTCCGAGAAACTCACGTGCAATCCTTGGAAAATTATACAGGCGCTAATGGAAATTTTTTTCTGAACGTGACGTATTTCGAGAGTACAAAAAGCGCGAAGTGCGCGAGCTGGAACCAGCCGGCAGAGAACACTTGCGACAACGCATCGCTTGTATTTTTGAGGATTTTGTTTCCAGATGAATTTCGGCAGTGACAACTGAACGAAAAGCTTACTAGTCTTGACGAGATAGCGTAGGTATAAAACAGCGATGGAAAGACAATGCAAACTTGGCTTTTTCCACATAGGTAGTTTAAATAAGACGGCCCGAAGATTTCATTGCCTAATGGTTTTCAATGTAGATAATGTCCAGATTTGAGTTTTTATGGATGATGTGTGCGTGAAAAATTATTACCCTCCATACAGGGTGCTAGACCGACCGGAACCGCTAAGAAACATGAATGAAACGCTCTTCAGTAGCTACGAGAGGTACGTCACTGCACTCCTAGAAACATCTGATTCAGAAGAAGTCGACGACGACGATGACAGGGCCACCAACACACATAACCAAATAGGACTACAGAAGGCTCCTCAAAAAAGTGCATACAAACGAGGTCAAAGACGCCCTAGACAACCGGGACAACAACAAAGTGCTCGACGAACCAGGCCCTAAACTCAGTAAGGACGAATTACAACTATCGAGAAGTACCAGACGGACCCTTGCCCAGTTGGCGGTTACTCGGGGAAGCAGTGGTGAAGTGGTTACGTCTCCGCCTCTCAATCAAAAGGTCGGATGTTCGAGGCCCACCATGATCCGTGCTCGTTGCTTGAGGGTGAGACAACATTACCCAGCCCTGAAAAAAAAACCAAAAAAAAATTGCACGTAGTTCTTAAGCAGGGGCACAACAGCGGTTCGCCGTGATGAGCTGTACGACTCGTATGTTGGTCCTATCCCTCGTGGATAAATGATCTTAATAATTAATAATCCTCCCCATTCCTATAAAGTTATCTGCACAGACTAGACGAAACAACCTCAGAAGCATGCCCACAGTGCAACTCAGAAACCGACACAACGGGTCACCTATTCAGATGCAGCGCAAACCCGACCACACTCACCCCCACGCACTCTGGGAAAAACCAATCGAGGCAGCGGTTTTCTTGCAACTCGAGATGGAAGAAGCCACAAACGACGGACAAAAAAGGGGCGAAACTACGGGCACCTAGGCAACAACAACAGCAACCCTCCTCACACGATGTAAGCTACCAACCAATAAGGGGATCCAAACCAATTAAAAAGTTATTTGTGTTCCAAAATCGTGTTCCAAATGTCAATATCCGCAATCGAACTATACAAATGCGTATCCCTAATTCTTTATTATCACTTGACATCTCACTGTTCTACACCAAAATTTTTCTGAATTAAAACTATCTAACGTAACAAAAAATAGTCAAAATTCGATTTTTACGCGAAAATTTTATCATGAAGTAAAAATTATGACTTAAATACTGTTTAAATTGTATCTTAGCAAAACGCTCTGAACAATTTTTTCACTTCAAACCAAAATGTCGAACTAGTTCAGATTTTACAAGGCACGCTTGACAAGTTGAACGGGTCTTTTGCATGACGTCGGTGATATGAAAATTGTACAGGTGACTTACGCAAAATCAGCAGTACAAAACAGCAAGTGTGAAAATACGAGCTCGCCTGCCCATGAGAAGCATAAAAAGATTATCTGCAGTAATTGTGGCAAATCAGAGAGTAGTAGACTTTGCAACGACCCTTACAGTATTTAAGCGTAGAGTCTTGCGCCAATGTACGTATAATGTACTGGCCCTGTCTCTTTTGGACTGACCAGTCCAGTGTCTGGATGCCAGCAGTACTGCCACTGCCACTGCCAGTGCCGCCACCCCCGTCAATCTGTGCCGCTCCGCCCTTGAGGATCGCCAACTCCTGTGGGGGAGTCTTCTCGAAGTCACGGAAATCCTTCGAGCGGAAAATATAAGTGTTTCCGTCTTGGCTTCCTAGGGCCAGCGAACTGTAATCTGGGAAACATAAATCGGATCAACTTTTAGCTTTAAGAAAAGATGAAAGCCTGGAAACTGAACTTCTCTCTGTTTCAGGTACAAGAATTGCATGTTTTTTGTAACGCTGATAGATTTAAAACCAATATCGCTTTCAGTTCATAAATCGCTTTCAGATATCGCTTTCAGTGTTAAGCTGGAAAGCGAGAAGACTCACCTTTTGAGAATTTGATGCAGTTAATTTTTGCGTGAGCAACTTTCACTTTCACCTCGGGGCTAGATTGGTTGCTTTTCACTTTGACCAAGATCAAACTGAAACACAACCGGACATTGCAATAAATTTGAAATTAATGGAATGTTCAAGAATTATATTAAATTCAGTAAGGCGGGGATAAGGTAGCATTTACCTGCCATCTTTTGTTCCCATGGCAATTGTAGCGGCGTCATCGTGGATATCGATGCACGTTGGTGCAGTATTCTGAATAAGAACAGTTTCGTAAAAACATTTCAGGAACTCAATTCCAAACTTATGGTATACCCCAGACGCAGCAAGCTAGGTTTGCTAACTACTTTTGTCAGACATTCGAGAACAGTTTTCTCTTTGCTGATTTCATGAAACCTAAATACGGTTGTGGATCAGGAGTGGATTCAGGGGGGTGTACTCTCAGGGATTTTGCCCCTGACCAAGGATCCCTTTTTTGTGCGTTTTTATGTTTACCGTATTCGTTTTGGTCAGCAAGTCCTAAAAATGTTAATCAACTCAAAGAAAAAACAATTAAAACTAAAACAATTAAAAGTTTAAAAACTGAGAGAGAGAAAGGGGGCGCCAGAAAGTGGATCCTTTCAAAAAAATGTTCCATGAAAAAGCTTTGTTCCAAATTTGGTCCTAAGATTGTTCCAGAATAGTGTTCCCTAATATCAAAGTGATGATCCACCAAAAAAAAAACGTTGACAAAATTTTGAATTTTTTTGAAACTTTTTTTTCTCGAGAAATCCAACATATGCCCATTAAAGGATCAATTTTTTGGGGCCAGAGAAAAATATTTGACTTCTAAACTACCAGTTCAGAGTAAATCTGGTCACAACGTTGTGTAAGATGTCAAAAAAGTTTTTAAAAATTTATTAATGATTTAATGCTAACAAACAGGGTATCGATAGAATTTTATCACTTTTTTCAAACAGTGTATCGGTAGAATTTATTGCTTTTTTTGTCTGCACTCTAGCTTTAATTTAACGCGGGTTAGCTTAGTTAGAGCCATGGAAAAGTTTTTTCAATGGTTCTTCTTTCAGTCATTGCAAAGTTGTAACATCCGGACAAATTATCCGGACAAAACGAACAAACTTGAACTTTCAAACGCTGTTTTCTCAAATTGGGTTACGATTAGACAAAAAGTGAAGAGAACAAAAATAACTTAGTATTTTTTTCGTTTGCAATTTTGCCTCCCAAATTCTCAACCAAAAGTATACCCCAAAAATGGGAAATGGGTCATTTTGGCTTTTTTCAATTAATCAAGAATTATGCTGAAACAACTTTGTTAATGGATGAGAAATATATATCACAACAAGCCATTTACATAGCCCAACAAAGTTCTAGAAGATTTAAACCTCCAAAAACTTGTATAGGAGAAAATATTTTTGCTGAGTAGTCAAGAAATATCATTCTTACTACATAAAACCCAACATCTTGGCTTAAAAACTAATTTTAAAGAATTTACGCATATTTTCGGAGAACTCACAATTCTAGAACTTTTTTAGCTATGTAAGAGGCTTCTTGTGATATATATTTCTCATCAATTAACAAAGTAATTTCAAACGTAATTCATGATTAACTGAAAAAGCCAAAATGACCCATTTTTGGGGTATAATTTTGGTTGAGAACTTCGGAGAATAAAATGCACTATATTAGTTCTGGTGAAGTTCTAAGCAACTTTTGTTCTTTTCACTTTTTGTCTAATTTTAACCCATTTTGAGGAAAACACATTTGAAAAATCAAGTTTTGTTCATTTTGTCCGGATAATTTAAATCAGCACTGTACAATTGGATTACTTATCAAAAAATATCTATCAAAAATGTTTCTTCGCATATATTTTTTGAAGTACTTAAGAAGTTTGTGTTATTTTTTGGTTTTCTTGAGTGCATGAACTGTATTCCGTTTTGTTCAACAAGTTCAAGTGCACGAGTATGAAATCAAATAAAAGCAGATCTCTCTAAATCTTTTTCTCAACTTTCACGTTTTAAATGGACGTGGGATTTCATTGAGAATGTGCCAATTCAGCTCATTAACGCAGGTTAACGCAGGTTAGCGCCTTAGTACTTCAAATACAAAGTTAATTTACCTCAATTAATATATAGTTAAATTGAAATAGGACAGTTTCCGGGTGTTGCTATCAAAATTGATAGTGTAAAAAGGTAGCAAATGAGGAGGATTAACACAATCAATATCCTCCCCTTCTAAGTCTGACCTCCTAAATCTGATGCTTGTATCACATAAACTAAACCATGTTTCTTGCATTTAATTTGGAGCTTTTGTAATGAAAACAGAACTGAAAAATGCCTAGTCATTAATTTTGAACTATATAACCAAATGTGGAGTATTCACCTGCAGAGCATGTTTCCACACCAACTTTCTCTGTTCTGAATTGACCATTAGCACCATTCCATCATAGCCTGCAGTAATGAAATGGCCCCCCTGTAGGCCCCAATTGCGAAGAGATGCCAGACCCCTTATTTGCTCATAATGACCCTATAGGCATAACCATCCGTAAAACAAAACACGTATAAATAAAACAAGACTGCTCGTATCAGGGCAAAGCCCTGAATGTTCCGACTGCCTTTTAAGGTTTATGGAGCAGTAATAACATTAAAAATTCAATGAAATAAAACAAAATGAAAAAAAAATTATTTCTAAAATTTGAAATTTTTAAAATACAAATCATCCCCCCACGCCATATAAAGTACAAAAGGATAGATTTCGCTCTTTGTAACAAAACAATTATGGCAAATAAGCTTCTTTTAACCAATTTGGAACGATTTCTAAGACGGATTAACTCTCCGCTTACGCGTTAATAGCGCGAAACATTTCGCGCGTTAATTGTCCCAAATTGGCCAAAATGCCAATCTTTAAACCCCCGTAACTTTACGAAAAATGATCACAGGTAAAATATCTTTTCAAATTTGAGCTCAAGACAACAATACCTTTCGAATGATATAAAAAAATTCCGTCAAAAATGGCTAGTTAAAAAGTCGAAATTTGTCTGAAGAAAAAAAAACCCCACCCGGAGCACAAATATTCCGTTACTTTCGTATCGAAAGTCGGAACAACAACCATGTGTCACCCGCTCTGCTTCCTGCTGTAACAACTATTATAAGAGTTAATAGTAAAAAGTTTGTTCGTTTATCAGGGCAAAGCCCTGATAGTTTCAACTGCGCTTTAAACCCCAAAAAATTGATTACATAATAAAAATGAAACAAGACTGCTCGTATCAGGGCAAAGCCCTGAATGTTCCGACTGCCTTTTGAGGTTTTCATGAGCAGTAATAACAAAATGATAGAATGAAAATTTTTTTCTAAAACTTGAAATTTTTTTAATGAAAATCATCCCCCACACGCCATATAAAGTACAAAAAGATAGATTTCGCTCCTATTATTATATCAATTATGGCATATAAGCTTTCTTGAACCAATTTGGAACGATTTCTAAGGCGGTTTAAATCTCCGCTTACGCGTTAATAGCGCGAAATATATCGCTCGTTAATTGTTCCAAATTGGTCAAAATGGCAATCTTTAAACCCCCATAACTTTGCGAAAAAGGGTCACAGGTGAAATATCTTTTCAAATTTAAGCTCAGGACAACAATAGCTTTCGAATGATATTTCAAAAATCCGTCAAAAAAGGCTGGTTAAAAAGTCGAAATTTGTCTGAAGAAAAAAAAAACCACCCCGAGCACAAATATTCCGTTACTTTCGTATCGAAAGTCGGAACAAAAAATGAACGACCTATTTTTCACATTTAGCATCACGTATCGTATTCATAAGACAAAATTGCTGGCCTCAGTCCAATTTGGAATAGTTCAATTCTCGTCTGAAGCGTGTTATAAGAACGCAACACATAGCGCGTCAATTAACAGTCAAAACACCAATTTTCAAACCGTCATAATTCTACAAAAAACTGTCGAAATTATTTTTAAATTTAAGCGCCATCACGAGACCAAACTGTTTTTTTTTGTGAACTGTAAGCGAATTCCACAACAAGGACGCTCTCTTCGTTCTTCTATTCCAAATTGAACTGAGGCCAGCGATTTGGTCTTATCAATACGATACGAGACTCTAGGTGTGAAAAATACGTCGTTCATTTTTTTCATTTTTATTGTGTAATCATTTTTTTGGGGTTTAACTCAATTTTTTTCTAAAACTTGAAACAATAAATACAATTTTTATTGCTATGACTTTCAAGGAAAATGACGGAACATTTATGAGCAGGGACTTTTATTAATTTACTAATTTTCGTCTTTTTAGATAAATGTTTTTGACGAAAGTTTTTATACCATTTGATAGATATTGTTGTCCGAAACGTAAATATAAAAACATCAACTGTGATGTTTTTGGGAGTTTATGGTGTTTGAAAATTGCTACTTGGGTTAATTTGGGATGATTGACCCGCGATATTTTGCGATCTTATAACACGTTTAACATCATTTAAGTGGCGTTTAAATCATTTCATAGTAGTTTGAGACGAATCGATTGGTCTTTTTATTAGGAAAACAGACGCTAAATACATCTTTATGTACTTTACATAGCGTTTGGGGGATAAAAAGAAATAGGAAGAGGAAAGACTTTTTTACTATTTTTTTAAAAAAAAGTTATTTGATTGTTTTTCCGAACAAAAAGATTTCAATTGGCCTTAAAATAAATACAGTTTTCTGCCCCCTTACACGAGCAGTCTTGTTTTAGCTGTACACATTTTACGCGAAAAAATACACAAATTGCAATTCCGAAAAACTTACAAAAATTTACACCTATCACAAAAATTTGCTCCCCTTCAATTCCCTTTGCTGCCTTCACCCCACTGAACTCCCCCCCCCCCACCTGAACCTCCCCCCCACCTGAACACCCCTCGCCTGAACAACCCTCACCCCCACTTGAACCCACTTACCACTTAGTCTATGGAAAAATGCTTTCAATTGAATTGAGTTCAATGAGTTCAATTGAATTTCAAAGTTATTTTATAGTTGTTTTCGTATCGAAATTGGTATCTCTTCATAAAAAAAGGAAAAAAAAATGGTATGAAAAAAAATGCTAACCATACAATTTCCATATATGGAAATTGTTTAATTAGAATTTTTTTAAAACTTTTTTTTTGTGAAAAAAAAGCTTTGAGCAATCAATTCAACTGCTGGCAAAACATTTAAGCGTTTTTTGGGCTGCTACTACTGAAAGATTTGACTTTTTTTAATTTTTGTTTTCATTTTTTTGATGGCGACGACAAAAGTATTTTTGAAATTGCCCCCAAAAAATTTTTTGTGTTTTTTTTACAACCGCAAATTGATTTTCGAATTCAAACAAACATTTTTTGAAAAAAAAATTTTTCATGCAAAATTCAATTTTTTGTGTGTATAACGTAGTCCTGGAAATAGTAATATTGGATTCTTTTCCTTTTCTCTTCATAACTTTTTTCAAAAACGCTTAAAACTCCTCTTTCTTTTGTATGACATGTTTTTGTATGCCTTGATCAATGTCTGGTAATTTAATAATTCAAATTTTAGAAATAATCATCTTTGAAAATTATTGCCAAAATTTAAAAGTTCATTACTTTCGTTATATTATTTGTCTGAAGTTCACAAACAATATTGTATATCAGGCTGTTTCCAATGTATTTTTAATGCAAGACGGCGAAACCGTTGGGTACTACGTTTGAGTAATCAAGGTTTATGTCATTTGTGCTCGGTTACGAACACAACCAAAAAATTTTCAGAAACTAAAATAAAAAAAATCAATATTTTTGGTTTATGGAAGAAGTCAAAACATTAATAAGGAGCTCACTATAGACTTGGAAGAGTTAAAAATTGCTAGGAAAACTGAGTGAAAGCTGGAAAACTAAGATACTTTTCTGCATGGATAATGCTTTGACAAAACTAGGCTCTATAAACGTTATAAAATAGAAACCATTTTTTTAGAAAAAAAAGGGTAGTAATTTTTTTCAAATAATTGTGAGATAGGAATTTTTCCTACTAATTTCTTATTTTCTTTTTTCAGTTTATATTTTGAATTTTTCTTTCAACCAATTAAAAACTAGCATCATACAATTTTCATATATGAAAAAATACTAATCATAGACCTTTCATGCAATTTTCTGTACAAATGGAATTGTATGGAAAGTGTATGACTTTTTTTCCGTTAATGGAAATTGTATGACTAGTATTTTTGGTCAGCCCGGGAACCTTTTTATTCCCGGGTTGAACATCCTTCAAAAAAGTCTTAGAACTTCTCATAAGATTTGTAAGGAAACTTCACTATCTTACAACTTTTTTATAACTTTTTTCGCAAATTTAAAAAAAAATCGCCATGCGAATTGAATGTGCTTCTTTATGGTAAAAACCAAAAAACAGGTTTGATTTTTTTTTTCAAATTAGTGCATGTAAGAAGTTTTATATACCGGGTTTAATGTATGCATTTCTTAGTTATACGTAATTAGCGATTCCAAGATATTTTGGAGACAATAAGAGTTCAATTTTGACGAATCTTGTCATATAGCTTTGGACGTGTTATATGTTCAGGTAAACTTCAGGTGAATTTTTAGAAATCAGCAAAAGTTCCTCTGTAAAGTTCCTGAGACTTTCAGGAAACTCATGTAACAACAGAGCCTTTTTGCCTACGGGTTTTAGTCAATGTACTCTGTGACAGCTGAAAATTTTTAATTGGTTGAAAAAAAAATTCAAAATATAAACTGAAAAAAGAAAATAAGAAATTAGTAAGAAAAATTCCTATCTCACAATTATTTGAAAAAAATTACTACCCTTTTTTTTCTAATAAAATAGTTTCTATTTTATAACGTTTATAGAGCCTAGTTTTGTCAAAGCATTATCCATGCAGAAAAGTATCTTAGTTTTCCAGCTTTCACTCAGTTTTCCTAGCAATTTTTAACTCTTCCAAGTTTATAGTGAGCTCCTTATTAATGTTTTGACTTCTTCCATATGTATAGCGCACCCCCCTTCAAAATTATTGAGCAGCTGATTATGCAGGGAGTTCCCTAAAACCTTTCGATAAAGTCCTTAATCTCAAAGCTGGTAGGTTTGTTTTGAAAGAAAATCCCTGAAATTGGAAACTTTCCAAGTCACTAGCGGCTTCCCTTCCGGCAATGCAGAAAATTCGCGTATGCAGGTAGATATTTTCATCTTGACTGTTTGTAGGATTGAAATCATTAAATAGATCAGCAGCGTGGTTTTGGAGAGTAGAAAATGGTAAAAAAAATAGGGGTCATATGGTCAAAAATGGGATCTTTCTTATGTCCATAACAATTTTTCTACTAAATTTTTGCATCGCCTTGATATTTTTTTTGAAATTGATAGAATCCTTCATTGTCACAGAGATGGCGAGGAGTTTATCAAAAAAAAGAATGGAATTTCCAAAAAAAACAGTTTAGACTTTAAAAGTTGATACTTAAGACTTCAAAATTCATTAACGGTTTCTCTACCATAATTAGAAAAAAAACCGATACCAAAAAAGAGATCCACAAAAAACTGTTATT